AAGGGGGGGGGGGGGGGGTGTCTAAAGTGCCAAATACATTAAAGTACTATTCTAAAAGACCAGGAACATTCTCAATTTTTAGGTTAGAGAAACGCTCCCACGTGCATTTTTGGCATGGCGTTTTGGTGAACTATATTTCCACAGATTTGGTTTATTTTATGCCATAGAAGAAATATTTACGAGATTAACAAAGCATATGCGTAATAAACTAATAACATATCAAATTAATAATAGATAAAGAAAGTTTTATGAACTTGTCATTACGTTAATAAATGCTTTAATGCGCTTTAAAATCACTTTTCTTTTAAAACGATACCCATATTATGCAACATTACACGAACGCGGTTACGCGGGAATCTAATTTGTGTTCCGTTTTCATATAACTTTGCATCTAACTTTCAGATTACACGAATATATTATAGTGGAAGTTTTCTAGGCTGCAAAGCAAATGTATCGAGAAGAAAATGCAAGCTAATATCTTCGGCTACATCTCTTTCGCTACTAGCAAGAACCAAGCTCACAAGTCGATCGCGATCTTCACCCCACAAAAGGGGGGAGGGGGGGTCCGGACCCTCCCATTCCCGCCCCCCTTGGCTACGCGCCTAAATTGAATCTAACTCGGTAACACCAACATACACATATTATATCTTAGAATATACTGATATCGAAAGAGCTAGATTCCGAAATATCATCAAATCGAAGTCTCGACTTGACCGCGTAGCTCAGTTGGCAAACCATTGGACTAGTATCTCAAAGGTCCCGGGTTCAATTCCCACCGTGGCCAAGCAAACTTTTCAGCTTGCTCGGTGTGGGTGCACACTCAGAGTAACATCACAAACATTCTATGGATTATTACTTAAACAAAATATGAATGTAATAAAATATGAATTGTTCTGCCGGCAATTTCATCTTTTTACCATAAGGTTTAAAATGTTAATGACTTCATCTATATAGGGGGGGGGGGGGGGGGGGAGATGGATATTAAGTGGAATGGCCTATATTGACATTAACATAAACAGTTGTGCCTCGTGTGTCTTTTGTTGAACATGGTCGTACACGACTTAGTCAGGTTCACAGGTTGTTAGTGTTGCCCTGGTAGTACACGACTTACTGGTCAGGTTGTTAGTGTTTAAACTGTATTGTATGTTGTGAATTTAGTTTAAATGTCTCTTTCTTCGTTTCCTTCTTCCTCTCTTCTTTTAATTTGTATATAATGAACTGATATGTTAGTTTGTATACTTTAAATAGTTTTTGTACGGTCAGCTTTTGAAGTGTTGTAACCTCAATTTTTGCAATGAAACAAATCATACATACAGTTTTTCTTTGTATGGGTATATGTAAAGTAAATGTATTTATTAGTTTTTAGGTATATTTAACATTTTAGTATTTGCCTATGGATCCAAAGCAGCACTTTCCTTGCGATAGTAACCCCTAGTTATAACACTAATTTACACTATTATAAGTAGTGTTTCCCGGTGTCACAGGACTTTCGCCGCCCCAATCTCCA